AGTCACTAAGATGGAAATACTAACACACAGTACATCTGTTTGTAGGTGTAACATACTAACTTAAATAATAAAAACAACTTAAATAATAAATAAAAATGTATTATTATTTCACTTTATTGAACGCCCACCTCCAAAAATTTCTGCCCAGAGAAATTCTGTCCCTTTCGAAACATAAAGTTGGTGACCCATGGAGTAGATGTTTCTGTACGTTTCTGACAAAAGCCTTTGAGAACATTTGCTGTCAATATAAATCACTAACTGTGGGCTTTGCTGAAAATTCCATGACAAAAATGTGTGAGTAGGACGGAAGGTATGCAAATATCCTCCTAGACCCAGATATGGAGGCACTGTTTGAGGATGAGCACAGACAGTGAGAGTTTAAAGATCAAGACTAGACAGTGAACTAACTGAGCATGGGATGAGAGTGTAAGACTGAGAGCTACAGAGTGACATAGAGGGTTTCCATCGGACACGTAGCCATGCATGCCCATGAGAACACAGCGGCTTTGTGTGGAAGAATGTCGTTTTCACAGCGCATTTCTTTTGGGGTGACCGCAAGCTAGCGCCATCCATCTGCTGGGTCTTTGTCAGACTATCTCACATTCCACTTGCTGAAAAATAGTGAATGTGATTAGCATGCACCCCACACCTTTTGCCACCACCCTTCTTTCCAATGGCAAAATAGATGCTTGTGAGCCCACCCGCCTTCTTCTCTCATCACCCTCTTCACCAATATTCCTCTCTCTTAATAACTTGATCATGGGCGGTGCAGAGGTGGGCCCATTGTGGGCTGTTTTGGTGTTCAGTGGTTTAAAACCCTCTTTACAAAGTGGGAGGGAGGGAGCTGAGTAAGCCAGCAGGCACCTTTACACTGAAGAGGGAGTGTCGAGTCTTTGAATGGGCCAAGGGCATCAAGAGGCCCTCACTGATGTGGTGGCATAAAATCCAACAAGCCAGAGTTCAGTCACCTCCAAACTGAGGCAGATTATTCATTTTGATAGCTCTTCTCATTACGTTTCTCTGCAATTTCTTCAAATTTGCATCTGTGATTATATGTGAGTGTAGCTGTGTTTTCTGTCGGGGGTAAAGCTCCACCAAACAAGGCACAAGAATACGCTGCACAGCACAGCATTACTGCCATTAGTAATAGTAGTATTTCGCTAATCAAGTCTCTTGGAAATATCGTGCTGATTATATTTTAACTGCTTTTAATATGAAGATATTTATCACAAAAAATATTACTGTCCAAAAAGTATAAACTCATGCTGTTTTTGTTTAAAAGGATTGCAAGAGTGCAACCAAGCTACAGAAAGAAGCCCTGGAAAGGAGGAATATCACTCAGCTAGCTTCTTTGAAATCTAGGCTAATTCTTATTGAAATCTAACTGTTAGTTAATATTTATTGACAACTGGACTGTCCAATAAGAGAGAACCAACGTAGGTTTTTTTAATATACTTTACTCCAAAGCTCTGCCTTTTAAACACAATGAGACAAATAGTAAAGAATTATGTGAAAGCATCGATGACTATAGTTTGTCTTCATCATTAATAACAACACGCTTGATGTGATTCTAATGAACTGCACAGGTAGAAAGTCTAGTCTGAAAACAATTTCAGATTTTTGACGTTTCTGATGTATAATTCAGGTGTTGGTGACTCCAGGCACTGCATGTTTTGTTTCAGTGTGTGGACGTGGCTGAGCAGAACCAAAAGAAGGCGACCGTGTAATCCCCGTCATTAGTGGGTTTTAACAGGATTTGGTGCAGCTACAATAATGAAGGCTCCAGTGGCCTCCATTGAGGGACGTACCAGGGAAGAACAGCAACCACAGAGGAACTAACTGTTTCTGTGGTAATCTGAATTTGGACCATGTGTGTTCATGGTTCTTGCATGAAGGTTTGTGTTTGTATGTGCTAATGATAACCGCAACTTTTTTGGTACTGATGTGTTGCTATATTACTTTCTCCTGCTGCTCCACACACACACAGACACACAATGTGGTTGGTGCTACCACAGCAAGAGCTGACAGAGGGCCAGGAATGGCCACTATGCTCTGCATGTGGAGAGACCCATGGCATGCTCACTTGCATGATATAATGTAACACATTCACACACATATGCACGTCCATATGGAAAGAAAACACCCACAATGGCTCTCTGTGCTATTTTCTCCAAATTATCTGATAATGTTACGGTGTTTTGGCTAATATCGTTACATTTGCTTTAGTTTTAATGTAAAATTGCAATTGCTGAATACTTAATCAGCATTCAATGTTCGCAGACTTCTGCTATTTTTGTGCACATTGGAAAAATAACATCACTAACGTAGGCAAGTTACTGAATTTCCAGCTCACATAATGATGACCCGGCTCTGAGCTACAGCAGCAAAAAAAAAAAAAAGAAGGAGAAGGATTTCTCTCTGAATGAGTATCTGCTGAATCTCCAGCAGCACAGCAGGACTCCACAGGTTATTTCGATGAAAACGCCTGCTGCAGAAATTGCAGCCCTGGGCCATTCTCGAGTGGAAAAAGATCACATGTTAACAATCCATACATCCATCCATCCATCTTCAACCGCTTATCCGGGGCCGGGTCGCGGGGGCAACAGTCTGAGCAGGGACACCCAGACTTCCCTCTCCCTCGACACTTCCTCCAGCTCTTCTGGGGGG